CCCGACCACAACAATTGATTCATGCCCCTGTGTTGTTCACTTGCTTCCAAAAAGTCTTCACCACATCTAGCTTGTCATTCATTAACCATTGATGCAAAACCAGCCACTCTGTCTGCCTGTTTATTTCCTACAACTCTTGTATGTCCAGATAAAAATATCCAAAGAACACCAACTACCCGGTACCTCTGAAGTGATCCTTCCCACTCTGAACAGAGACTGTCTGACTCCACCTTTCTTAAAACATGTTGTGTGAGTCGGTTACATCATGATGAACCAACAGGAACTTCTTCTGTCTCTCAACAAAGAACCATCAATGTAGATAATAACAACACCTGGACGGGAATTATCCACGAATCAACTTCTGATTCGGTAGTGCCTGCTGGCCACTGCCTGCACACTTGGCCAAGTGTCAGGGTTGCCATATTTGCATTTTTTATGCCAGATTCCACAAATCTGGCATATTTGAAATTGAACTGGCATAAGATAATGACTGGCATATTCTAGCATATTTGGGTTTTTCCTGGCATTTCTTATCAAGATGTGCTCACATTTTCTTCATGGTTCCTCTGTTAGAAACACGCAAATTTACTAAAAGCAATATTTAAAATTTTTTTTTTTAAGTTTGACTTTGTTGTGATGTCCTGGTACGGACTAACGGAGATTCGCGCCATTTCTTATTGTTTTGTTGTCTTCTTGAACGGATCGTGACTGATATAAACCTCTGTAATTTATGTTAATTTACTAGAATAAATGCGAGATATCAAACGAAAACCCACCACTGATACCAAGTGATTCAGACTGTTCAGAAACTACTTGAGGACAGAAAACAGTTAGGATATAGACCTAGTTCTATCTGTGATAGATTTTATTACTTTTACCAATGGCCACGTCATCCAAAAAATGGAAAGCATCTTATGAAAGCAATCGCAAGTATAATGGTAATTGGGAGAAAACATACTCATGACTCAAAAGATCTTCAAACGGATCAGAGGCAGCATATTGTAAACTGTGTCAGTGCACTGTTGCACCAAGAATTAGTAGCATTTCAAATCTTGAAAAATCCGAAAAACACAGGATCAAAACTCCGTCAAAAAGCCAGTCACAGCTTATTACAACAATAACTCCTAGGCAAAGTAATGATACAGTTAAAGGCAGCAGAGTTGCAACTTGCTGTAAGCATGACCTGCCATTGTGCAATACGCACAATTGATCATTTAAGTGAAATCATGAGAGCGCATGGTCAGGGGAAGTACATTGGAGCACATACAGTTGCATAGAACTAAATGTTTATGCTTAATAAAAAATATTATATCGCCTGCACTTCAGGATGACCTTATTAATGGTTTTCGGAACAAGAAATATGCCATCATTATAGATGAGTCTACTGACGTTTCCACTCAAAGGTACTTGTGCATTATAGTTAGTATTTTCAGTGACAGAAAAAAATGAAATATTTACTGGATTTCTTGCTTTAATTTTCTTGCAAGTGGCTACAGGAGAAAACTTAATTTGATTGATAAGGAAATCAAAAGGTGTGGTCAGAGTCTTACAAATTGCATTGGGTTTGCGTCAGATGGCGCTTCGAACATGGTCGGGTGCAAGAACTCTGTATGGTCCAGAATTAAAGATGTGTCTCCTATTTGTGAACAGCTCAGATGTATCTGCCATTCACTAGCACTCTGCATTTGTAGTGCAATTGCCAAGCTGCCATCAAATATTGGTTTCTTACTGTCAGAAATACCTCAGTGGTTTCGTCATAGTTATTTAAGATGAGAAGCCTATAAAGAACTGTTTAAAGTATTGAACACACCTACAGAGTTTGAATCAGAACGAACTGCTCCTCTTCCATTTGAGAAACTGTCATCTACTAGGTGGCTTGTGAGTGGAAAGATTATGTTCAAAATGTTGGTGAACTGGGAAGAATTGAAAGCTTATTTCACATGTGCTGAATTAGCACAGACAACGTTTGACACAAAAAATTAAGTAAGATTGTTAAAGGAAATGCTGTTAGACCATTATAATTATTTGTACTTTTTGTTTGCGACACCAGTTGTACAAGAATTTGAAAAACTGAACAGTCTTTTCAACAAACCAAAGCTGATCCTCATGAACTACACCAAGAATTGTCCATGCACCAGAAAAGTCTTAAGAACAGACTGTATGACGTCAATGAGCAGGAAAAAAATATTCATCACGTTGACTTTGGTATTAAATTAATAACGGAATGTAATGCGTTCCTACAGAAGAAAAACGGGACTGAAGCTCAGATAGAAATAAACAATGTTAAAGAAAGATGTATGTCTGTGCTAGAGGAAGCTCTCAATCAAATTACGTGTAGACTTCACACAAAAAATATATTTCAAAATCTGTCATAAATGGAGCCCTTTGGCAGTTTTAAATCAAATATCAAGGACACAGTTTTCAGAGCTACCATTTTTACACCTGGCAGAAAACAACATCAGTATTATAGAAGAACAGTACAGAAAACTGCTTGTTGCCAACTGGAAAGAAGAAGCTACATTTAAGAAGGATGGACTACCTACAAACAGTAAAGATTTTTGGATAGGCGTGCTTCGACACCAGGCATTTCAAGAGTTGGCCACTTTCGCCCTTACTTGCTTAATAATGCCCGTTAGCAATTCTGTAGTTGAGAGAAAATTATCTCTTGTTACTTCAACTAAATCAAAAGCAAGAAACAAAATACAACTGGATTTTCTTGATGCAGTTGTCAGAATTAGAGCAGAACTATTGATATCAAAGAAATGTTGCAAAGACTTAATTCCATCTGAGAAAATGCTTAAAGATTTTACATCCGAAAAGGTTTATGTTGCATCTTCCACTTGTTCCAGTGAGGATGACAGTGAATAATTCAATCTAGAGTTTTTTATGTGAAATGAGTGCAATGTTAGACCTTATTTGGCAATTTTCTGGCATATTTTGGGTGATGGTTTGGCATAGAATGAAGTTTTTTATCTGGCAACCCTGGCAAGTATGATATTAACTCTCGACAAGTATGATTGTTGCTCAGACACTTTGACCCACTCCTCTCACCTCCCACATTTTTGTTTTCCACCACACACGCCTCTCTAATTGTGACTTCTGCTTGTGACATTCAAAATATCCCTCTAACCAACCTGTGACCCTAAACTGTATCCAGGGTTGTATGCAAGAGGTGGTTTTTGTCACCGGCTACCCAGAGGTATGACCTAGCTTGCAAGTATTGTGTGGAAAAGGGGGAGGGGGTGAAGATAAACAAGATAAATAACTGAGCCTTGGATCATAAGACTGTAAATAATAAATTAATTAAAGATATGAATTATTTAGGAATTAAATATGCTGTGGGTTAATATGAAATTGACTACATATCTCTAGTGGCAAAACCAAAGATACTTCCCCTCTCTTGGGATATATCGCAGAGTTTTGACGCTAGTCGTTCGAATAACTTGTAAACATTGTATTCGCTCCCAGCATATGCCACAGTTTAATGGACACTTCAGTTAGTTCGAAACTAAAGTATCTTTTAAACAGGATAATGTATTATGTTCCTTCATTCAACAAACATTTGCAAGTGAAGGGACTGTTTACGAAAGTGGCTCATTGAAGGCATCTTCCTCTTCGATCCTTCTGTCAGCAAACATATCTGGAGGTCTGCTGTCGGGAAGTCAAATGCGTTTTGAAAGGACAAATACAGAAATTTAAGCATCTAGACATGTGGATAACATCCAATGGAAGATGTATCTCAGAGAAAAATGATTAACATTGTGTGCAAAAAATCCCATGTCACGGGGAGGTTAGGAAAAGAATTCTCGCATGCTATATAGAGCCAGTTTTAACACAGACCTACGGCTGTGAATCGTGGACAGTTAATAAACAAGCCTAACTATATATTAAAGCCTCGGAGGTTTGGTTTTATTGGCGAATCTTTAGAATTCTTTAGACAGCTAAAAAGAGCAACCAATATGTTTTGAAAGAGGCGAGTGCTGGTAGACAACTTGTTGTCAGAAAGAGACAGTCATCGGTTTTAGGATTGGGGGGGGGGGGGCGTCATGTTATGAGAAGAGGGAAACTGAAACATGTCGTGAACACCGGAAAAAAATATGTGGAAAGAGAGACAGGGGAAGACAACGTGAGGAGATTCTTGGCAGCCTTTTGTCATGACATGGAAGGGTGTCCGAAAACAAACTGATACACACAGTTGCGAATCACGGATTGTGGCGAGGCATGATCACCCACGCCAGTCCGCTAGGCATTTGATACCGATGCTGACTATACAGAGTTATTCTGATTTGGGTGGGAATCTGTCAGATGGTTTCTCCGTCACCAGGGGTCACTTTACATACAGTGTTGCAAGTTGCATTGACATATATCTGTGTTTCCTACACCCAAAAACTTGTGCACATGTTGGTGTAGTCAGTTAGCTCATGTTCTTGGTCTAAATGCGATACACTGATCTTTCTGAGGATAGGCAATGAGCAGTCTTGGGGAGAACATTTGATGTGGGTGTCCAGCCATATCTCATGGATATTGGTTTGTTTTTACAGTTTTTGTCTCCTGATGAGTTGAGTCACAGTTTGCATGTACCGTGTCACCGCTGGAGACTAACAACATCACGCCAGCTGCCTTTATGTCCCAAGGCACACATTTAGTTTTTGTTTTTGGTCAGTTGTGTTCTAAGGGCAATTCGTGAAACTGTGGAAGTCGGGCTTTGTGCGACACCCTCGGCAGCCAGATAGCCCGATCTCCATATGGAATAAAACCCGGTGCAATAAAGATGATCCTCTCGACTTTAAACTTTTTTTTAAAATTCAAATAGCCTGCGTGGATAAATAACCTGGCATACTATGTGTCTAAAATTTGCTCATATGTAAATTTGTAAGGTGATAGTTCGCAACCCCATGAAAAAGGTTAAAAGTTGAAGGTTCAAAGTGTCTTCGGAGGGCGTTTAGTGTTGGTTGTGTTTTGAGGACGGAGCCAGTACCTTGAACATTATTTTCAATATCATGGCCAAATTAGCCCAGTTCAAAGACTTTGGGAAGAAGATCGTGTGTGTGGGGCGTAACTACAGGTAAACAGCATTAGCTGCTAAAATTATATTTGTAATTTAATAATTGTCCAGGTGTGGTTAAATTCAAGACGTCTTTTATTTTTTAAATCAAGATCAACCCCAGTTGGTTCCAGGGCCCCATTGTAAGGGGGGGGGGGGGATAAGAATAGAGCAACTGCCTCCCCAACAAGCATGTCGTAAGAGCCCACTAACTTGGAGTTTCCTTAGAAGTCGGGGTGCATCTACCGGAGAGGCACGGAACCAACAGTCTGCATTTGAATGAGTCAGATCTGAAAATTGAAAAATGGATGTGCACACGCAACACTCTAATTCTGTAACAAGTCTAAAGTCCAGAGGTGGATGAACAACCAGCAATTTCCGCCGGTACAGCCGGTGAACGCGTAGAAGAAGAAGAAATATAGATTCAGTCTGTTGTCTCACGTATTGTAAAGGAAATACTAAAAAATTTGATAATCTGTATTTTTTTTTTTTTTTTATAGTTATATGTAGTCACTTTTGCATTTTACAACGTGAATCCGCAATTACCTGATAAGCCGTACTTATAAATAATTTATACAATAGTTACCCATGGTTAAAAAGGTCATGACCAAAGCCAGGTAACTAGTGCCTCTGCTCAGCCACCAACCAAATCAAATGTTTCCCTTCCAGAAAAACAACAAACGATTAATGACATCTTCCTATCAACTTTATGTTATCAGTGCCCAACATGGACTGTGAGTAGAGCACAGGAAAAGAAAAATAATTGCCTACAAAATGTGCAGCCTCCAGAAGGTCACAAACAACACAAAGGACAGGGGTCACACATACTACCATTAGAGAGAAGATGCCTGAATTATATCAAAAAGCAAAAAATAAAGTGCTTTGGCTCTCTGGTAAAAATGCAACTGAACTAAATTGTATATGAGACCTTCTACGGCATAAATCTGCTTGAAAGAAGATGAAGACCAAATAAGAGATGGTCAGACGATGCAGCAGAATCCTGCAACAAGATGAACTTATCCCTGACTGGAGAAGCACACACAAAATACAGAAAACTATAACACTGGGCTACAGGCCAGTAACAGTGTAACGACAGAAGTATCAAGAAGAAGACATAACAAGAAGTACAAGTTAAGAAATCATACATGTAGATAATTTAGGGAAAATCATGATAACTGTATATGTTTGAATATTTTCAAATTTTAATCTAGAAAGATTCAACGTTATATTTTAATTATAATCCTTGTTCTCATATTCATCCTGCTGCTACTACTGTTGTCTGTATTTTATAAATTAATTGTTTAATGATGTTGGCAGTTTACTTTTGTATTTATTGCCCATCGGTTTCAGCTGTTGAATTAAGAATTTACACTACAGCATTCAGGACACTTTGCCTCTCAACACAGCCATTTGCATAGATAATCACTTAACCTGAGCAAGAATTGTCATGAATTATTTGTTGAACTTCTGCAGCACCTACTTGCAATCCTTGCACTCATGTTTTGGTATGATTAGAACCCTCTGCAAGTCTGATTGTTGCTGTGACACTTTGGCCCACTCCTCTTCTCTCCCAATATTATCACGCCTGCACAAATGTTTAATTGTGTCTTCAGCTTGTGCCATCGAAGACCTTCATCTTTTTAGTCTGTAACTCTCAGCTTGTTCCAGGGCTTCATGCAGATGCTTCTTGTCTGTAGAGACTCTGAGATATGACTTTGCTTGTAACACTTTGGCCCACTCCTCTTCTCTCCCAATATTATCACGCCTGCACAAATGTCTAATTGTGTCTTCAGCTTGTGCCATCGAAGACCTTCATCTTTTTTAGTCTGTAACTCTCAGCTTGTTCCAGGGCTTCATGCAGATGCTTCTTGTCTGTAGAGACTCTGAGATATGACTTTGCTTGTAACACTTTGAACCTGTCTGTAATAGTTGGCTATGCAAGTATATATCACATACATACTACCAGGGTATCTCTTGTACAGGGTATCTCTTGTACATCCCAGAATTGCCCTCATGACTTCATTCTGTTCATGTTCATGTTTTATTAGCTGATTCTTTGATGCAGTAAGTATAAGAAGTGATATAGAAACAATGTATAACAACTGACACAAATTAGCAGGTGAAATAAAATAAATTCCACCCATAGAATCACCCAAGAAAAATAGTTTGTATTTATTTTCTCTAAATTTGTTTTATTGATTTGATTCTCAGAGAGCATGCGGCAGAACTAGGAAATCCAGTACCCAGCAAGCCAATCTTATTTCTAAAGCCTACTACCGCATATATATCAGAGGGACAGGCTATTAAGGTAACATTATTGAAAAAGACTTGTTGGAAGTCTCTGTGAAACAAAACCATAAATAATAAATCTTCTTTTGTGTTTTACTATATATTGAGCATTTTTTTTTACTTTAATTGATGCTTCAGTGGAAAAACCCAGCATGTTGCAGGTCATTTATAGAACATTGCTTTAATATCAGCCCACCTGAAAGTAACTTTGTCACTCACCAGCTCTCCCACCTCATGCAGTATTCTGTCCAAGATATCCTTCATGTCCTGTGTCATTCCTCAGGCTGCATGGTCCCTACCACTCCTCCTGCTGTTCATTTTATTCCACTGTGGTGTTTCATGTGGCTAAAGTATTTCAGTTTCCAAAACAAAATGCTGTTTATGAGCCAATTGTCCTTGATATTCATATATTTTAGGATGTCAGTATTCCTTTTCTTCTTGTCCCATTGTATTCTAAGAATCTTTAAGTAGCATCTCAGAAAACTATTTCAGAGAAATTTGAACATGCCTATTTGCAATGTGGTGTTGGTAATTATGTCTGTCAACAACATTCTGTCTATGGAGTACTATCAGCCATTGATACTGATCTTCTTCTGTACCATGATGCCAAACTGCCTATCATTTTCTCTCTTAGTCAGCCTCGACCTATCTTTCCCTCCAGCTTACCCATTGTCATGGCATACTATAGTTTCTCAAGAAATGACCAAAGAATGTTGATTTTTTTCTCCTGATGCTAATAAACAGTTTTCCTCATGAGATAGTGTCTTAAAATGTCTATAACCCTTAACAACTTTCTTTCCTACATGTAATATAACTGAAATCAACATCAGCATACTTTTCTTCACAGATTCCCAAAGGATGTACTGACCTTAACCATGAGGTAGAGCTTGGAGTGGTGATTGGCTCTCGTGCAACAAATGTCCAAGAGAGTGAGGCAATGAAATATGTAGGTGGTTATGCTCTTGGCTTAGATATGACAGCACGAGACTGGCAGGCTGAAGCCAAGAAAAATGGACATCCGTGGTCATTAGCCAAAGGATTTGACACATCTTGTCCAATAAGTGCATTTATTGAGAAAGACAAGGTTTGGAATTTATGTAAAACACTCAAAATTCTGTATCTCTTTCTTTCTCCTGTCTCGCCTTTTCTCTCGTTCATGCAATGTGTACATCTTGTGCCTTGATTGTAAACATAGCAGTACATCCAACATTTTTGTGTTTGCAATGAATGAGGAGGAAAGATCTAAAGAGCACAAGGGAGATATAAAGGGAACAAGGGAGATCTAAAGATATAAGAAGGAAGATCTAAAGAGAACAAAGGAGATCTAAAGAGAACCGGGAGACCTGAAAATAAATCAAGAGAATTAAAGACTGTGGCGGCTTGGTGTGAGCTGGTTCGGGGACTATGCTCCAATGAGGAATAAAGGATAATACAGTACTACATTCACACAGCCTCTACTTCTCCATGTAGGTTCCTGTAGGGAAAACACGAATAGACTCACTGACTACCCAAAAACATGTTCTAAGAGTATTAATTAAGAAGTCCGACTGCTTCTGCCTGAGAGGCAAGGACCAACATTCTGCATTGAAATGATTCAGATCTATAAAATGGATTCTCATGCAACACTTAGGTTCTGGAACAGGGCTACAGTGCAAAAGTGAATGAACAACCAAAACTTTCTGCCGGAGTTTACAGCTGGTGAACCTGAAGAAGAAGCAGATTATATAGCTTCTACTGATTCAAAAATTGTGAATTAAGCAATTTCAGCAAATGAAAGAAATAAAACTGCAAGCTAATGTCTTCCTTAAATTGTTTTTATTATTCTTTTGTTTAGTTAGTTTTAAAGTTTCTGGTTGAAACACTGTTGCGCATGCACATGTCTTTACCTTTTACTCCGTTACACTATGTAGTCATAGTAAAGAATCGACCTGTTTCCCCTCTTAACAAGCATGTTGTAAAAAGTGACTAATTAGGGGTGTTTTTTACTTTGAAGTGGGAGTAAAAGTTCCTCCATTTACCCCCAGAGTGTCAACTCTGGTACCCATTTCCTAGAGGCTGGGTGAACCCCGGAAACTGCCCGGTTTCGAACACCGACCGCGGGCTGCAGCGAGTCACAGCTGGATTTGAAAGCGAGCCGCTTATCGACTGCCCTAACAGTGGGAGTGCATCTGCCTAAGAGATGAAAAACTAACAATCTGCATAAAAATGGGTGTGCACGCAAAAATCAGCTTCTTAGATGAGAACAAAGTTCAATGGTGACGAGTAACCAGAACTTAAGGTCTGAGTTTATAGCCAGTGAAAGGTAAGAAGAAAGAAGAAGATTTCAATAGTAATGACATTATCTTATAATCTAGTTAAGGTAGAATTTTTTTTAAATGACACAAAGATTTTTTTTCTACTAAATATTATAGACTAAAACTCGTTTTTATTTTCTTTATATTAGATTCCAAATCCAGAAAATGTGGACATTTGGTTAAAAGTCAATGGAGAAACCCGGCAGTCTGGCAACACTAAAGATATGATATTTTCTGTAGCACATTTAATCAGCTACATCAGCCAGTTTTTTACACTGGAGCCCGGTGATTTACTTCTGACAGGCACGCCAGCAGGTGTTTCCAAACTGAAATCTGGAGACATCATTCAGGCTGGTCTGGGAGATGTTGTGAATGTTCAATTCACTGTTCAGTCTTAGCATGAACACCATCATGTGCCATGACAATAAGCAAAAGTATTCTTATTCATCATTTCACATAATTTCTAGAATGATGGATTATGTCAGTGTTCTCGTACCATCCAAGCCATGTAAATCCGGGTATTTACCTCTTTGGTTCCTTTTTGCTTTTCCCCGCCAAGTTTTGCCAGTTTTCATCAGGTTCTTGAATTTATTCCTTCTCATTACATGTCCAAAAAGTCTTGACTATCTATACAGTTTTCATCTGTTCTAACAAATGCCTCATTTGTTGTTCTGATAGTCTTTGCATTTTTTCTTTGAAACAAAATTTTCAGTGTCATCAGGTGTTTTTTTAGCATGTCTGCTAGTTATTTTTGCTTTGCACACATGTCAGTTCAGGTTCTGTATAGCAATTTAAGAATTTTTTTCACGGCAGTTGACACCTTTTTTAAACAGTTAGTAGCACATTTTGTGTTTTGCAGAAGGCTTCTTTCAGGTGATTCTTGTTTTAATCTCTGCAAGGTATCACACACCAAATGCTTAGACTGCTTCTAGACAGTTGTACCAGTTATTTAAGAATTATCTCATTTATTTGGATGTTACATTGTGATATTTGTGTTCTTCTCTGAGACAACCCAGTTTCTGTTTTCTTATAATTCTAAGCTTAGTTGCTCACTGTGTAGTGTTACTACATTCACTAGATACTGCGGATCCTGCAGTCATAGCATGTGTATTGATTATATCTAAGATTACCCTGTTTGTAACATCTCTCGAATGCAGAACATGAAGGCGAAGGCTGGCAAATTACATCTCTGAGATCTCCTTTGATGAAGTGCTCAAGCCATTTGCCTTGCGCTGTGAAGCTCCTGGGTTATTTCATTGACTGCACTATTTGGATCATGAGTACAGGTTTTTTTAGAGATTTCTGGGGATTATCACTTGAGCCAGTGGCAGCCAATGTCCACTGGACCGCAAATTATTCCTCCCCACAATACTTCATGGCAGGTTTATGAATATGATGATCACTGGAGCTACAGAGTTTGTGCTTTGTGTGATCTCTTAGCAGGCGGCTAGCTGTTCTGCAGAGAAAGATCAAGCCATATGGGATAAAACCACATGCAGTGAAGATGATCCTGTCAACCTTAATATTACCTCATATACAGTGTTCCGTAAATCCCTCCACAGTCAAATTTTTAAATAACTGAGTATCGAATCTTGAGAGTTGTGTAGTTCGTAATGTTCAGTCACTGTGAAATACCCTATATTTAATTAGCACAATTCTTATGTCCAACATTATTTTAGGTTGTTTTATATGTGCTGTCTTTTAACTGAATTCAGATGTCTTGTAGTGAGATGATTTCATTCTGAGCAATAAAATGCAATTACCAAGTGAATGAGGTTTGTTTTGATGCCAGCCACAGCATATTATTCCATAAAGGGACTATATTTTTACTTTAAGAGGCCTATAATGGCTTTGAACCCTGATGCAACACTAGGCGCTCAGATTCCACTGTAGCAAAATGTAAGACCAAGGTCACTACTTCTGTAAAGATGATGCTGGCCAATGGAACCTCAATGGGAAGGAAACAACTAGCAGTATTTTGAGAATCTTGTTCTCATTGCCAGCTCTGATTTAGAATATGAAATTCTAATTGAAAATGAGTGATTTAGTGAAGTGAATTCTTTTCTTAATGTTTCCCAGTATGTTAAGATTGCACTGACAAGGTAACACAGTCAGGCTAGAAAGCTAAATGTGGTAAACTCCTATGTTGTGTCTACTGCAGTGAGTCTTTACTACATATATCCTGGATCTTGTGAGACCAGATGAGAAGAAATGTGTCCATGCAACACTCCTAGCAGGGCACACTGTACAGAGACCAGATGAGAAGAAATGTCTCCATGCAACACTCCTAGCAGGGCACACTGTACAGAGACCAGATGAGAAGAAATGTGTCCATGCAACACTCCTAGCAGGGCACACTGTACAGAGACCAGATGAGAAGAAATGTGTCCATGCAACACTCCTAGCAGGGCACACTGTACAGAGACCAGATGAGAAGAAATGTGCCCATGCAATACTCCCAGCAGGGCACACTGTACAGAGACCAGATGAGAAGAAATGTGTCCGTGCAATACTCCCAGCAGGGCACACTGTACAGAGACCAGATGAGAAGAAATGTGTCAGTGCAACACTCCCAGCAGGGCACACTGTACAGAGACCAGATGAGAAGAAATGTGTCCGTGCAACACTCCCAGCAGGGCACACTGTTCAGAGACCAGACGAGAAGAAATGTGTCCGTGCAATACTCCCAGCAGGGCACACTGTACAGAGACCAGACGAGAAGAAATGTGTCCGTGCAACACTCCCAGCAGGGCACACTGTACAGAGACCAGACGAGAAGAAATGTGTCCGTGCAATACTCCCAGCAGGGCACACTGTACAAATGACATGGGGGCGCCGTGACAATTTGACGTTTATTACAAATACTGATCTTCAGTCCATCCTGCTGCGTCGTGTCTGCCAGTCCTCAGTCTCTGTATCTGTGCTAGGGGTTATTCACTGGATAGCAAGACTTCCATCATTGTCAGTCTTTTGAAACTAAGAACATTGGTTCTTTTCTTTTAATTCACCACATCTTGGGGAATTGAGATTTTGTGGGAAGTTCCTGGGAAAGTCCAATAGTATAAGGGTGTTAAGGTGTGAAATGAACACCGAGTAACACTAACCTCCTCCCCCATAATATTGGACTTTCCCAGGAGCTCTCCAGGAAATCTCTTGAGTCTCCGAGATATGGTGAACTAAAAGAAAATTACAGGAACATTACTTACATTCAGCAGCATTCATCAGATATACACTTGTCTACACACTTAGCATGTCGCACACTCATCCCAGCTGTGTACGCCTGTTGTATCAAATGAATATAGTCACTCATAAGTTCATTTCATTCGTCAAATGTTCAGACTTAATTCGTTCATGCCTGTGCTTTCAGTATGTTGTTCTTGCATGCATACTTTAGACTTTCAGTTAAACTAACTCACAACGCCGCTATTTTATCTCGCCACCTCAGATTACTCACTTTCAAGTATACTCTGTTCTACTTACTTACTTACTTAGTCGCTCCTCTTCTACCTTGGGGTGTAGAGGTTTGCCAGAGAGATCGCCAGACGTCTCTATCAGCAGTTTTCTCTGTTCTACACATATGGGATTCCTCATAATCAGCATAACATCACATCCTATTTATGTCAGGTACCCTACTGTCTTGACCAATGATCTTCTATGGCATGTCTCGTCATATCGTCTTACTAATTATCTGTAGGTCAAGACTTCTCTGTTAATTCTGTCATTACTTATCATTACATACTATTACGTCTGCCATCTGCTGTCCACACTGCTTAAGATCTTTCTGGGCTTGCAATGGCCTCAGTCACTTTTGTTTTCATAATCACTTAAACTCTGACTAAGAAGTGGTCTTCTTCTCTTAGTCCAAAGAATTATCTACAGAAGTTAATAAGTTTACTGCCATTTTACAACTTTTTAGTTGGGAGGGGGGGGGGGGGTGTCTTCAGCCTGAAAATGTAAGGCTGCAAGGATAGTGCAATCCCCACAAACTGCAAAGGCCAGAGTTTTATTTGTGCCCCCATCTTTCACTCTGATATTTCCTCCCTAAAGAAACTAATGGCAATCTTAAAAAGCTGGTTCAAGCTCTGAGCCATATTGTTTAAAAAGGATCCTGAAATTACTACTGGCAACTGTACTGCTACAACAGAAAATTCAAGGTTCCCTTATCACAGTATAGGATGCATTTAGTGCATACCTCATATTATTAGACTGATCAACATTAGATTGATCTTCTTCTTCTTCTTAATTCGCTAGCCTACTGATCTCATTCTTCTTTGATCCTTCTGTCAGAAAACTTAAAATCAGGAAGCTGGTAGCCTTTATGAAAGCTATCATGCAGTCCATATCTCCTCCTGTACCATACAGCTTTGTCTTCATTGTGATTGGAACAGGCCAGATTGCATCTCTTTTTAGCAGCTTACAGTTGACAGTGTTGGAGTACATGCTCAGAATTTTCTGGTGCCAAGCTGCAGTGACACGTCTTTGTATTTCCTAACCTCAAAAGCTTGAACATGTGGTGAAGTCTGTTGTGCCCTGTCCTTAGTCTGAATATAATGCACTATCCCTCTCTAGAGCGGCGATGAAATAAGTCTTGGGGAGAGAATTAGTTGTGAGTATCCAGCCACCTTTCTTGGATACTGGATTGTATTAATGTCTTAGTCTCTTGGTGGGTTAGGTCACTTTTTAATTGTTCCATGCATTGCAGCTTCTGGCCATTTTGTCCACTATTTAATTGCCTTCCAAGCCGTATTGACCTAAAATCCACTGCAGCAGACTGTTCTACAGAACAGCCTAAGTCAGTGATTCCCAAACTGTGCACCCAGAGGAGCCGCAACCTCTTCAAAGGGGGCGCAGCTAAATATTCAAAGATACAGGAGTTAATTTCTTTTTTATCTCTTACCTACGAATAGTCATACTTTTACTTAGGTTAGGGCGCCGTGGAAAAATTGTAATTGAAAAAAGGTGACGCGACTAAGACAAGTTTGAGAAACACTGGCCCAAGTGAATCAGCTGTTGCATATCAAAATATGCATAACTACATTAACTGTGAAATAAACTGTAGAATCATTCATGTCAGGATTCATTATTATTTATTCCACAAAATAATTCTTTGCACATTTATCATAAATGTTGTCTTGCTAATTTAATATCGTTGTTAAAACTAGGTATTTGAACTGTTTTACTTATATGATTCATGATATGGTCAGTCATCATCATGTAGCAGGTCCTTTGCAGAACGTCGCTCTCATAGCGGTCTGCCTGAAAGAAACTCGGTCTCTCGTCAACTCTGATATGGTCAGTATCATGGCGGTTATCATTTTATTTTCCCCATCACCTTACTGAGGATCTTCCACAAGACAACTTAATGTTTTAATTGCTTGGAAAGCCCCTTCCAGATGAG